TCGGAGTAAAGGATCGTTAACAATGACGTTCTAGTGTGTATTGAAATACACGGACCCAACTCAACCAACGCCTGACATATTTATGATAATTTCTAAAATACTATGGATAACGTCCACAATTATCCCACATAAGTATCAATTTGAATTTTCAATGCGTAAACATTATAAATTGGACGATTTAGATTTCCAAAACTACATGAAACAAGGATGTGTCCCCTGTTTGACACGCATTATTTTAAAACTCATTTTTAACCACACATTTTCAATAAAATAATATTGTTCATTACATCAATAACTTGTCCTTACTTTTTAACCATATATCTCTCATCATATCATTATTTAAAATATATTTTTTTTCAATAATATCCATCAAGTACACCCGTAAGTGGTTCGACCAAGTTTTTAACCTGTTCATAATCATTTATCTATTTCAATACTATACAATACGTATACATGGCAACATAAATCGAGAGTTTGTCTGAACAAAAATTGATTGTGAGGAGTGAGTATGCATAATAATTGTAGAGGTTTCATTGAATCTGAGTCGTTGGGATCATTAAATTGGGGTCGGCCATAAGGACCATCTCCTTATCTCAGAGTAAACGTGTTCATCTTCTCATTCACAAATCTTCTATTCGTACGGATACTACATAGTTATACAGATGTAGACTTATCAATACAAATTGATTCGTAAAAAACAATGTAAAAATCGAGACTATTCAAAATTTTGTCTCGTAATAATATAGACGGAATACTACACTAGTACCATCTAACTTGTAAATTTATTTTACCGACCAACTTCGTCGTGTTTCATTTTGATCATTCGGCTTATATTTCAGCGTGACTATTTTATCCATAACCGTGACAAAAACTAATGACTAACGATATGCATGACCTAGCACATATTTAGTGTCAAACAAAAACGAGCCAGCAATTTTTGTAGAGAAAGAAATCTCGATACGAGTAAATTAAGAACCTTGAATTTGAATTAGCATGGTCTTTTGAATTTGTTTGGTGAGCCATACTAAAATAAAAATGCTAGCATGGTGATCGAATTGAAACAAATCAAATTTGGGTGACTAACATGAAACAAACCAGTAAGTTGAATGAACTCCAATGAAAATTTCCCGTAGTTTAAAATAAGGGTAATTAGCAGAAATGGTCCCCAACGTTTACACTATTTGCTAAAATGGTCCCTATCGTTTTAAAATTGGTATTTATACCCTTATTTCAAACGTTTCTTGCGGAATTAGTCATTCCATTCATAAACCGCTAAACATCCGTTAAAACCTTTTGATAATTTGCAGAAATGGTT